TCCATTAATTATGTGCCAGATTATTGCTCTAACCATTTTGCAACTAACAATGTTAGGAATACTGGCATGTAGTCTAACATGTGTTTGTCTTGGCCCTATTTAAACAGGGGTATTAATAGTTACAATCCTAATTCTTCAGTATAACTTTCAGGTCTGAAGATGACTGGAAGACTGTAGCCAAAGCTGCTGCAATTTCCATCCTGAATTCCTACAGTAACTTAGAATGCATCCTATCTAAACTGAGAGAATTCCCACTGTGACGTGTGCCAAAACTTATAACTTTCTCTTTTTTGCCTACTCTAAAACTATCCACTGTCTCTTTTGCCTTCTTCTATACTGCTCCATTGACAACAAGTTCTTCTGTAGTGAAGACAAACAAAAAAGGGATGAATCTTGTATTTTTTTTATGACTAAGTGCCAGTTGCATCTGATTTTTGGAAGGATGTTTGTCAGGTCACTTAGCAGGATTTCTCACCATATCTCATCAAACTTCCTTATTAAATACCTACCCTGCCCTTATGGTGACTCCATCCTTATCTTTTCACATGCTATTCCCAAAACAACTCATGGAGTTGCAGTTATCTGAAGGACTGGTATCTCTCTTGCAAACAAGATCTTTAAAAACATCATTGCCAATGCTTGTCTAGCTGCACAATCAGCTTTGCCTCTCACCAGCAACATAATGCACAGTCGCCACAAAGCAACACTGTGAATGGCAGACTAGCTGACACTCCCCAAACACATACAACCCCATTCACTCACATTTGTTGCTGTTTAACCACCAGACCCCACAGTTAACCTGTCCTCATAAGATATTTAGACAGGATGTATCTAAGTACCCACTACTCTGTCGCCAGTGCCTAGCAAAGACCTGCAGCCTGTCAATGTCCAGTAGGGGAATATTATAAATAAGTATGCAATAGGATAATGCCAAACATGAACTTTTATTTACAGCAATCAAAAGTGAACACAACCAAAATGAATAGAGACCGCAGTTGCAACACAATGCAAACCAATTCTAGATCATGACCAACAAATAGTCTACAGTCCTTGAATGTCTACTGCACCCAGCTTTCATTTACTGGAGCCGGATGTCAATCAGATCCTGTCTAACTTGTCACACCTGACACAAAGGCAAGTTACTTCACCCCCCAATGTCCTCATCCTCTTCCTCAGTAGACTGCTCCTGTTCCCCCAGTTCCGCAGCATCTATCACATTGCTTGTGGCCTGCTGCAATTGTGCAGAGCATAGCACATCAGGGTGATGGGGTGCACTCTATTTGGACTAACTGGAGTACCCCTAGACCCTCTCAACTCTCCACCACCTTCCTTCCTCCACCCTAATCCCTGACCACTCCACGCTGTGGAATCATATTTTCAGCAGCTTGATTATTTGCTTCACCAGGCCACAGGTCACAACATGTGCACCAATTAGAAGAAGGTGCCATACATGGCTGAGTGACCAACACATTGCATCAAAAAGGGAGTGCTTGCTTCACTCCAACCACCTTCCCATGCAAAATCTCCAATCATTCAACTTTCCATTCTATTCAATGGAACCCATCGTTATACTCACATAACATATGATGAAGCAACGCAACACTCCTCCCACAACACTTGGAAGTTTCAAAAGTAATGGGACTATTCGGCCAGCATTCACTTCTTTTCAAGTCATTGTTGCTAACTTCTGCATCATTGAGATGCTAGTGTTAGATTTGGAAGCACCAACGGCATGGAGCAATTCACCTTTGACTGGCATTTGAAATTTAAACATATTTACTCTGCATTCATTGAAAACGTACAATGATTGTTAAGTGAAGCTGCCGTTTACAAATGATATGCTTCATGTTTCCCTTTCAATGTCCTAGCATCCAGTAGACAGACCCCACGCTTTCACCAATCAAACTAACAAGGACTCTACCCTGCTTGGATGTTGTACCAGCCATTTTCCAGTTGCATTCACATCAAGAGAATGGCAAATGATGGCAGGAAATGTCTCTTGCAGTGGACACCATCAGCACCGAGCTCTACCTCGGTACTCACCCAGAGCTTCCATGTATGCTTTTACTTTACACTGTCCCAAATACCCATTTCCACTCAGCTTCCCCCCTCCCCACCCCACCCCCACAACATGAAACACCCCTCAGCACCCTCAACAATTAACAGACAGATAACCAGGACTGCATTTGCCCCAGAAGTCTGACTGACTTTGACAAACAGCCCTCAGATAATGACTGACCAGGCCACGTGTTGTGCAGCTCCCTGACTGATGATGTGTGCTTTCCCAGACTGCTTGTGATGACCCAACAGGACTGATTAACGCCCACTTCCCAAACTGAACTTGGACATATCCTCTGACTGATTCTGGCCTAAGTGGATGACTGGCCATGGCCGAGCACCTGGACTGTGCCTGTGACTGAAAATACTAGGACCTCTGACTGACCCTTGACAGCAGTGTGGGCCAGTCCCTACCCACTTTCTGACATGGTCATTCAGCATGCAACATGTTTGGTAAGCAGGCTGCTGGCGCATGTTGTAGATGTTAAATTGACACAAAATCAAGAGGTCTTCCTTGACCATCTGACAGACTCCTAATGACTGTCTGAACAAAAAAAGTACATCAAAAAGATAGTATTAATAACCTTTAGGCTCTGGTTGAAGCACAAACATATTAACAGACATACACAAGACAGCATGTATACTGTTAGCATACAGATAGGTGCTAAATGAGCAAGCAGTAAGAGTGGCCAAACAGCTTTGAGATGCAGCCTGGTCCAATCCACGAGCTGGGTGCCCGCCCTGTGCAGTGTCCTTGCTACACATTTCAATCCTAGTTGCTGGTGTGCCCTGCAATGCAGGTCTATGCTCAAGTGTCCCGCAAGTGGATTGAGAGATGGCAAGGGGATTGTGAGGTGTTGGCGTCAAATGCCAATGTCTGTGGATGAGGGGCGGGTGCAGCTGATGGCCATGGATTGGGGCCTGAAATGTGTTTGCTGCTGAGCAACGCAGAGGCCATTCACAGCCTGTGGTGCGCTGAAGGCACCAGGTATACGCTGACATCCATGTCAAGAATTTTCAGCATCTAGCTTGTTCAGTGGGATAGGAAGCTGAATATTAATGAGGCCAGTTGCACTATTTATATAGCATTTAACAAGATATAATTCCCTTCAATTTGAAACTCCATCTTGCCAAACAATCTTGCCTTACCATCTGGCAGATATGTCACATTTATCATATGATTATGCCACAAACTTCACCAAAACTTACACTATTCAAGCCCCAAGGTTCCATCGATAGTATCCATTTTGCACCACTGCCACTAAAAGTGCATACCATTTCCGATTCCATGCTCCTTTTGAGGCTTGTTTACTATTCGTTAGCTTATAAAATACTTTCGTAATTCCTTTTAATAATTGTCATTATTTTATTCTGATGCTCACTGTGCTTCTTTTATTCCTCATTTAGTTCTTCTCTTGCAATCTATATTCAGCTTGATGATTTGCTGTATCATTATTTCTACATTTCAGGCCCCAATCCATGGCCATCAGCTGCACCCGCCCCTCATCCACAGACATTGGCATTTGACACTTGCCAACACCTCACAATCCCCTTGCCATCTCTCAATCCACTTGCAGGACACTTGAGCATAGACCTGCATTGCAGGGCACACCAGCAACTAGGATTGAAATGTGTAGCAAGGACACTGCACAGGGCAGGCACCCAGCTCGTGCTTAAATAATTATTTCTACATTGTATCTTTTTAAAAGCAGAGGCATTTCTTGGAATATCGAGAATGGTAAAGTATTATGGCACGTAAAAGAAAGAAATAAAATACATCAGAGTCCACATGAGCAGCTGCTTGTCTCCCAACCGTGACAGCTGTAAATTCACAGGCAAACTCAAAATTATCTTAAGTTTGGAGAATTTCATTCCTCATTTAAAACCACTGTTGATCCATTTTTAAACAGGCTGTAATAAACTGAATTTGAAATGATTGTTACATTTAGGTAACAATCTGAAAGTGCATATTTGGTTCATTAGAATCTTTATGAACATATAGCAGTAAAGAAACAAAGAAAGAAGGTATAGTACTTAGATTTATACAATATTTTAACAACTTCCAATAATCCATGGGGCTTCACTGCTCTTTGTAAGGAATTGGAGCAGACAATTTGTATGCAGCAAGCTTCCACTCTCATTGAAGAAATTAAGGATCACAGTCTGATGACATAAATATTCAAAATTTTGAGAATTATCATTTTTCTTTGAAAACTTCAGTTTCTTTATGGCATTATCATGGCAGACACCATGCCCATTTCTTGGACTACTGGGAATAAACCACGTTGTAAGGACAGACAAGCACATTACCTCATCAGATAAAAATTAATTTACCATCAAATTATTGACCTGATTATCTTAATAAATGGTAGTTTTATCTAAAGGCAGCAACCATTAGTAATTCTGTTGACTCTACATATTTGTAAAATTACAAAACAGTAAATGAGTATTTGATTTATTTCATACATGATATATATATATATAAAGTAAAAGTGACACAATTTTCTTAGCATGAAAACGTTTTCTTATTTTAAAAGTAAGTGTTTTTGGAGGTAACTATCCTTTGGTATTCATTTTCTGAATCTCTGTGCTATGGTAATTTATACCCTTCCAAATCATCAGAAAAATTCATATCTTGAATTGTGCTTTCTGCTGTGCTATTTTCTCCCCCTCTTTTTATTCTGGTCAATGTGTATTTATTTCTGCCCTGTCAAGCAGTCTAAACATTTCTTCCATGAGGAACAGTATAGGAATATAAGTTGTAAAAATTTATAAAGAATAGTCTAAAGGAAAAATAAGGCCCTCACTCATGCATTATGTTACTCAATTTGATTGAACCTGACAAAATTGGATGATTTTTAAATATTAAGCCCTTTAGAGAGTCTCTTCAGAGGACATTATCTCAGATATTTAAAAAACATTAATGACGACTATTAAAAACACACTGTACAACATGCTTTATTCATAAGCAGGTACAGAAGGCATTACATCACATTTGGTACAACAAGCAACTAAGCAATGTTCATCAATTCTAACTTTGGCACAGCAATGTCAGCCTGACAAAGTGTGTACCCCGGTTTAATTGTGAAGGGTAAAACAGATACCCCTTTACTTAGACCAAACAAGACTCCATTTACAACTTTTGTTTAGTGCTAAGTTTAGCTGCCAGTGACATAAAGAGTGTTAAGACACCACATGACAACTGTGCGTACTATAATATCAAACAGCTCAACTCTCAAGTTTATGACTTTAGAAAAGTAAAATGGGCCAGTTTTATAGAAATCTCAGAATGACTCAGCACCTTCATTTGCAAAATCTGTTTTGTCTGTATCATAGATTTGCTATTATAAAGCTCCCCTCTACATAACATGCTTCTTCCACCCATTTCCTCCCCACCTCCCAGCAGCCCCCCCACCAGATATTCATTTTTACTTCGGAAAGTTCGTTTGCTTTAGGGCAGTTTAGGTTTGTGTATAATATTCATCCTGAATCAAGGAATTGTGGAGGGGATTATATATTATACACAGGAGGTTTCATTGAATAAAATCATGACAATAGTATACTGTATTAATCTCAGTTTGTTTTATTTACAATGGTCAAGTATTTATATTTCATTACCTCCCATTAAATATCTCTTACGGTATAACTACTCTGATGTCATATTGGTTATCGCATCACTTCACAAAACATTTGAATAACCTTTAGAGCTTCAAACACAACATTAAGCTTTTGTAAGCTTTTTACTATTGTGACACAGCAGGATAACTTTCGGGGAAGTCAGGAAATACTCCTCATATTCATCTCAATGAATAAAACCTTACATTGTACCATCCATCTCATGAAAAATAAACGGTATTTAACAATTCTTCTTCAGGTAGTCTTTATATAAATTTAAATGGAATTTACAATATGCAAGTTCAAGGTCTTTGTCATACTGATGTAACGAGTAGCTTATCAGGCTGACAAAAGAGTTGAATACTGAAAAGGTGAAGAGTTGAAAGAGATGCAGCTTCAATGTCCCCTGCTGATTTGCAACCATTTATAAAGGGTACACATTCTTCAAAGCCATTATGTTTGAAAACTGCTTAAGGGCTGCAACAGCAAGGACTGCAAAGCATACAACATTTAGGACAGAAAGTGAGTCAGGGACATCCCTATCTAAATAGTCTTTTAAAAAATTAACATGACTGAACAAGCAAATTCTCTCAAGAATCCAAAATGGGTTTCTGCCTCCATACTTGTTCATCTCTGACGTAGAAAAATCTCTTGCTTATCAGCATTTTTTAAGAACATTAAGGAAAATAAAAGTCTACCATACTTAAAGCAAAAAAAAATTGTGGAAACATAATTGTTAAGATGTGAAAGGTTATATTCCAGGTTGTACAACTATAAGTTTCAAGCCCAATTGTCTCTCCTAAGAGCATGTGTCAAGCTGCTTTGTTGGAAATTCTACCACAAATAACAAATGGAATAAAAGCACAATACTATACTTGCTGGGGTAGTATGCTTTACTATGCCCTCTGCAGGACAAACAGTGGTAAGGAATATGATGTAAGGCTAAAGATTCACTATGGGATCTTCTCTTTTGTGTACACAAGCTGTTACAAGGTGGTGCCTTTGATGAGACAGAAACATTAAGGAGCTAAGTTCCTTTCGGTGGTGTCCATTTCAAACAGCTGGAGTCTATGGTTTTGTTTCCATTCGTTCGTTTTGCTTCTTTGGCCAGCCACTCATCTATTAGGTCCTGAAGTGAAATTTAAAAAAAAAGTTATGGAATAACTGACAACAAATGCATGCAATCAACATTTTCAATACGTTTTATTGATATTAAGCTTTCACTGACAATTTATCAAAAGATGGTTGCAATTTAAGAATACACAGTACTGATTTAAAATTTGTCACCGTCCATTTTAATGCAATAAAGTCGTGACCTGAACCAAAATTCATCTTAGGGATCTTAAAATGTTACCTGAGATACAAGCCAGTAAAAGGTCTGTGTTTAATAACAAGTCACTGCATGAATACAATTTCCTCTGGAAAATATTGGATGAAGCATTAAACGTGTGCCCTATCTGTCAAATCAAATGGATGTAAAAGATTTTATGGTGCTACTGCAGAAGAGCAGGGGCATTTTCTTGGCTTCATGGCCAAGATGTATCATTCAAGAAACATTGTTCAAACAGACAGCGCTCCAATGATTTTTGGCTCTTCTGCATAAATCGACTGCTCAGTTTGTCTACAAAACAATATCGGCTACTCAAAAAGTATTTGTTGGTTGTGAAGCACTTTGATACTTAGATGTCAAAGGCAGTATTTAAAACAAGTTTTTCTTTTCCTTGATAACACTCATGCAAACTAAGAATTACTTTACCAGTTCCAACAAGTCAATCATAAGGCTTCCTACAGGAGTTTGGGGCTTGGGGAAAAGAGGTGCTACACTAAATGGTAAACTTGTTAAAAGGGAACAGTTTTGTTATGCATAGCAGTAAAAAATGCTACTCTCTGTACCTGTAAAGGGTGACGTATTTCAGCACTACTTCCGATGTGAAAAGTGACAGATATTTTCCAATTAACCAGCCCAGAGATGTTATTACACACCTCTTGAGCAGGTGGGACTTGAACCCAGGCATGCAAGGGGTGATAATAAACATAATCGTTACCATCAAACTTTATTACCTGTCGTTTTAAAACCAAATGTTTTCCTTTCCAGTATTTCAGCATCTGTAATGCCTGAAGGGTGCTGACAATGTCCACAGGATTAACTGCAGTTTCTTGACTGATTTCTACAAAAATAAGATGTTTTTGGTATTGTTTTATACTGATACAATATAAAAATGGCTGCTCTGATAAACAAATGTCCATCTATAGGACTTCAACATCAATGTAACATAGACTACGAACAATTGCAGTGCTGGCTCCCAAAATGAAATGCTCCTCTCATGATATATGGCACAATCCACTCCAGAAAACTGCACACTGCTTTGCATCAAATCAGACTGTACTCTAGCTCAGTACTTGTGATGCTATTTTATAGAATTTGCAAGGTGAATCTACCCTGAAAATAAGCTAAGAGTAGATTAAATCTATAAAAGGAAAAAAAAGCACCTGTTTTCTCAAACTTCAACTTATGGATTATTTTATACAGGTTCTACTCATTGACATTTTGTTTGAACAATTCACGGTGAAATATCTGATCTCTCAATATACCACAAAATGCATGAAGAATGTTAAATTCATATATTAGAATTTGCATTCGAACCAGAACAATTCAATATAAATTTCATCCAGCATACGGGAAGCTCAGTTGATCATATAATAAATCTGGACAAATACACAAAATACACACAAATGTAAATATTTTTACCATCTGTAAAATTAAAAATCAATCTAGCTGCTCAAACCTTGGCAAATCTCTGAAACTGAACATTCGCTTTGCTTTTCAGAAATCAAAGATAAATTGTAATAGTGAACATAGAATTCAAAAAAATGATGCTAAAAATGCAGCACTCAAATTCCTAATCAAAAACTGCCCGTGAAACGGCTGCTAAAGCAGCACAATGCAAGTGATAATAAAGATGATCTTCTATTTGTCTGTATTAGAGTCGCAAATCATTATCTATTAAGGGCAAACTGAAAGATGCTTAGTTCCAAGGTAAATGGCACAGTCTACAAGGTATATACATATGTTTTATCATAACCACACAATGTTTCTTTTGTCATAACATTCTGTTATATATTATAGTGCACATATCTTGACAGCATATTTAAAGAAGTCTGACTAACAAGGCCAAAGCACTTGTAATGTCTGTGATCAAACAATAAAGTGACTTTCCAGCAATGAAGGCTCGACAAAATCGCTGACAAGTATTCTTGGCAAAATTTTCTCCTTCTAAGAAAATATATAACTTCTGCCATGGAACATTTGGTCATGACCAAATGGACATGTTCCAAAAGACATTCAATATTCAAAAGGTTTAATCTGTGCTGTTTTACTTCAGTGATAGGTCTCATTGGAAATATACATGCATTTTTTTTAAAGAATTGCAGTTCACTGCTTTTGTGACAAGTTTACATCCAATTACATGAATTGCATGCTTGAAAATCAAAAAGTCGAACTAGCATGGCTTTAATGGATAACTGGCCCCTCTACTTGAATTACTACTGATGACACTATGATGTAATTGATCTTCCAACTCGTAGTTTCAAAGAATAATCTTAAATATGTCAAGAAAAATAAAGCACTGCATTCAAGATCAATGTGCATATATGCAACTTCTATTGCTGATTCCGTGCAATTAATAAAATTCCCAAAATCAATTTTGAATTCTCTTTGGAAGTCAAAATATTACCCAATTCATACATCTTGCAAAACGATGACCACTAAAGAGGCTGATTTCTAAAGCTGGTTTATTGCATCCACAATTTCATGCACTTATATACCTGACTAGATTCTACCTCCACTACCTCAATTTCAGCTTCTTTCTGAAAGTAAAAATCAATCTCCCTATAGGATTTTCTGTACTACTTTTCAATCCCTGGCCAAGAGGCAGAGTAGACAATCTGTTCTGTAGGCCTGTCAATACCACTCTTTGGCTGCTGGCAAGGAAGTGCACAAACTACAAATGAATACTTTTCTTCTAATCATCTTCACCGTGTACTCATCTCGTACCAGATATCCAAATAAGAACAAAACAATGATCAAGAAATCAGCAAAGAGAATTGGTGGGGGGAAAATAGCAACTGTAAGCTCGCACTTTCTGGTACTGTAAAATGTAGCAACAGCATTTTGTGGTACTGTCTGCACATAGATCATAAGAGTCTTTGATTGTCTTGTTGATTAAAGGCATCAGACAGTGCATCACACTTAATTCATTAGGGGGGTGGTGCTGAATGGCTGCTTGTAACTGGGGAACTACAATTGTAGTTGCATTGCTATTGGGTTGATCTAGCCTGAGATAAGATCAGTGGACAGACAGGTGTGCAGTAGGGGTGAAATGGATGATGCGGTCATGCAGTTAAAGCATCAAATAGTAAGCAAACCCTTTTATTTTATTACACTTGTCAAGAACACAAATCATAACATAATAAGACATCTTTCATAGTATGCTTTGAATAATTAATGGAAAATCTGAAAGTGCTGTGAATATAACTAGTCTATTTTTGGTAACGATATTTGATAAAAGGAAAAAAGGAAATTGTAAATGGCTGCAAAATATTTCAAACCAAAAGCACAGGGTCCAGACGGAAGACATTATATTAATTACTGAAATTTGAGTTTTGATCTATTTTCACCTTTGATAGAGATTTCCTTGCCCTGAAAGTTGTGCAAATACCGTAGTAGAACTTCCTTCCAATAGCTGCGGTAGCTGATAAGCCCCAGGTCAGACAGGGGACGTTCTGGGGAACCGACTTTTTCTTCTACTTTGGACAGCAAATAGCCTTTTACAGGGAAATAAATTGTTATAAAAGTGAATTCAATTAGGAAAATATGCTGTACTTTTTAAATTCTTAGCATGATTGTTATGATCTTATTGGGGACTGTTATCATTCAAAGGAGGAATCTGACCACCCAGCAATTAACTGACAACATAACATCTTATGTCTTTCACAAAACGTTACTGTATATCAAAAATACTTAAATAAGCGTTAATATCTTAACTCAGCTTAAAAAGGCTTATGCTTTAAAATCGGTATATTTCTAAAACATATGAGCATGACATCAGCCATATGTAAATGATAACGGTAATTAGTTGCCAACTTGAATTTAAAAACAAATTACACAATCAGGCCATTCAGATTTTTCAATCTGCTCCTCCATTGGCATTATCACGGCTGATGTGATTGTGATCGAATTCCATTTTTCCCCCTACTCACTAAACACTTTGACTCCATTGTCAGTCAAGAATCTAACTCTGCCTTAAAATATTCAACCCTGAGTCAACTGTTCTCTGGTGCAAAGAACTCATGACTCTCAGAAAACAATTCTTATTTCTTCCCTAAATGAAAGATTCCTAATTTTTTTAAACTGTATCCCTGGTTCTCATCTTTCCGACAGCAGCAACATCCTCTCACTATCTCCCCTACTAAGTCTCCTCAATCTGTTATATGTTTCAATAACTTCAACAGGTAAGGGATCGAACTGTCCAAGTGTTCTCCATAACACCTTCATCTCAGGAATCAGCTGAGTAAACCTTTGCTGAAATGCTTAATGCAAATGCATCCTTTCTTAAGCAACAAGACCAAAACTGTGTAGAGTACTCTATATGTGGTCACATCGATGCTTTTTACACCTGTAGAAAAACTGTTCCTACCTTTCTATTACATTTCCCTTGCAATCAAAATATTCCAAATGCCTTCCTAACCATTTATTGTACCTGCATCTTAACTGCATACCTATAGCCACAGAGTTCTCAAATCTCCATTTAAATAATATTCTTCCTGCCAAAGTGGACAAGCTCACATGTTCCAACACCATACATCATTAAGGATGGCGCGGTGGCTCAGTGGTTAGCACTGCTGCATCGGAGTGCCAGAGACCTGGGTTTGATTCCATTCTCAGGTCTGTATGGAGTTTGCACGCTCTCCCCGTGTCAGTGTGGTTTACCACCGGGTGCTCCAGTTTCCACCCACAGTCCAACGATGTGCAGGTTAGGTGGATTAGTCATGTTAAGAGTCTAATGATGACTATGCACCCATTGCCAATTGTTGGAAAAACCCATCTGGCTCACTAATGTCCTTAGGAAAGGAAACTGCCATCCTTACCCGGTCTGGCCTACATGTGACTCCAGACCCACAGCAATGTGGTTGACTCTTCACCCTCTTCTGGGCAATTAGGGATGTGCAATAAATGCTGGCCTAGCCAGCGACGACCTCATCCCGTGAATGAATGAGTAAAGGAAATTACCCATATACTCAGAGATGTGTAGGCTAAGTGGATTAGACATGAGAAACGCAGGATTACAGGGAATTAAGGTTGGGGGGATGGGGATGGGTTTGGCTGGGATCCTTTTCGGAGGGTTGGTATGAATTCAATGGGCCAAATGGACTGCCTCCGCAGTGTAGGGATTCTATAACACTCGATCTGCCAAATTTCTGTGCACTCGACCTACCTATATCCCTTTGCAAACTCCCTTATGACCGCTTCACAACTTATTTTCCTATCTCAGTGACATCCACAACATTGGCAACCATTCACTCGATCCCTTTGTCCAAGTAATTGATATGGATTGTAAATAATTGAGGCCCCAGCACTGACCCCTGTAGCAGCTGGCGTTAGTGAAATTCTACAGGGGTCAGCGTTGAGACCACAACTATTCACATTACACATTAACGATATGAATGGAGGAACTGAGGGCAGTTGCTAAGTTAGCAGGTGACACAAAGAGAGGGAGAGGGGCAGGCTGTGTTGAGGAAGCGGGGAGGCTGCAAAAGGACAGACAGGCTAGGAGATTGGGTAAAGTAGCGGCAGATGGAATACAATGTGGAAAGGTGTGTGAGGTTATGCACTTTGGTAGGAAGAATAGAGATATCGGCTATTTTCTAAACAAGGAAAGGTTTTGGAAATCTGAAGCACAAAGGGACTTCGGATTTCTAGTTACGGATTCTCTTAACATTAACACACAGGTTCAGTTAGCAGTTAGGAAGGCAAATACAATGTCAACATTCATGTCAAGAGGGCTACAACACAAGGGCAGAGATGTACTATTGAGGTTGTATAAGACTCCAGTCAGACCGCATATGAAATATTGACAGCAGTTTTGGATGTGCTGGCATTGGAAGGGGTCCAGAGGAGGTATAAGAAAGATCCCAGGGATGAAAGGCTTGTTACATGAGGAGCAGTCAAGAACTCTGGGTCTGTACTCAGAAGGACGGTGGGGGTTTTGGGGGGGGGGGGGGGCAGTGTTGGAATCTGACTGAAACTTACAGCATACTGAGAGGCCTAGATAGAGTGGACATGGAGAAGTTCTTTCCACTAACAGAAGAGACTAGAAGCTGAGAGCACAGCCTCAGAATGAAGGGACATCCCTTTAGAACCAAAATGAGGTGGGATTTCTTCAGCCAGAGGTGGTTAATCTGTGGAACTCACTGCCACAGAAGGCTATCAGAGATAGACAGGTTCTTGATTAGTAAGGGGATCAAGGGTTACCAGGGAGAAGGCAGGAGAATGGGGTTGTGAAACACATCAGCCATGATCAAACAGCAGAGCAGACTCGATGGGCTGAATGGCCTAATTGTGCTCCTATACCTTATGGTTACCCCTTACGCCATTTCTTTTGTGATTTGGCACCATGATGAATTACTTCTAGAAATCCAAGTACACCACGTTTACATGTTATTCTTTATCATGTTGTTTTCTACTTCAATAAATTAATTGTGCATTATTTCTCTTTTACAAAACCATGTTGATCTGCCCGAGCATATTAAAATTTAAGTGCCCAGCTATAATTTAATAGCAGGTTCCAGCAATTTTGTATGTCAGATGTGAGATTAAGTTTCTTACAGTCTGGCTCCCTTCTTTCTTGAATGGAGGAGTTACTTTTGCTATTTTCCAATCAAAGGCTCCATTTCAAGATCTAGATAATTTAGGAAAATTAAAACCAATGCACCTATAATGACAGACAGGTTTTTTTTTAAAGAAAGATCCTAGAATGAAATCCATCAAAACCTGTGGACTCATCAGTCTTTCATTCTAATAATTATGATCAACATATTTTAAATGGCCCACAAGGGCAGCAAAAGTATATCCTTATTACTGACAACATGTCTACAAAAGTGTGGATGAAGCAACATGTGGGAATTCTGCCAATCCAAAGAGTTGATGATTAGTCGATCACTGCCAAAGGGAAAAAAAAGCATCAGGCAATCTCTGTTTTTCAGAAATCTATCTGACCTCATCAATGTAAAATTCCTTGAAGTCACAAACAAAAAAGGGCCAGGCAGATTAAAATCAAATAAAACCCTATATCCTACAATCCTTGTGGGGAAGAGTAATCAAAGTTCAAAATACCTACAATTTCCCTTTCCTCAAAGCTGCAACTAATAACCCTCTGTAGTATACTTATCCATCAATTATAAAGCATTCACCAGCTGACGAGCTATCAACATACTTTTATAAATAGGAATGTATGAAGCATCACATTAGACCAATGCAAACTAACTTAATCTATAAACATGTCTGGACTTCTCTTTACGCTAAATAGAACTTGAATTAGCATTTAGGAGCTCATCTTGTAAGGCATGACAATCACTTCAACTTAACTATTAACACTCATTGATATTACCAAACAACTAATTAAAGTTGAACACCGCCAAAAGGAACTACAGCAAACTGTTTTAAAATCAGAACAGAAAATTGGAGAAATTTTAACTGAGGTTTTTACAATTTTAGAGCTCTTCCTTGCAAGGCAGTGGAAGAAGGGTCACCGAAAATATTTAAGGCAGAAGCGAATAGATTTTATTAGACAATAGAATCAATGGCTATCAGTAGCAGATAGGAATGTGAAATTCAACCCATAAATAGATCAGCTATGGTCTTACTCAATGCCAGAGCAGGCTCAAAAGGCCTAATGACCTAATTCTACTCCTAATTTGTCTGCATGTACAAGAAGCTTCAAGTCTGCCACTCATCAGATAAGGATGCAAGAAACAGACTTGGGAATTTAAAAAAGTAACACCAATTTAGAACATAATTTTTTATTACTATCTACCCTTTCCAACTCTGAGCTAAGACACATTCTTCAGAGAATTGTGGGAAACTGAAAAAAATACAATAAATCTGAAGTTACAATATGACAGTTGACAATATTGGCTCAAACTATTAAAATGAATATTCAAAAGGAAAGAACACACATTTCTGAAACAAAAAAAAGTTCAGGAGTGGTAGAGAGTGGCCCTTAGAATTCCAGTAATAATGCTCAGTTCTCTAGAATTAAGTAGTGTTTAGATCAGCATAGATTACAGAGACCATTTGGTCCTTGTACCTCATGCTTCCACAGAAACAATCACAATACTCAGACTTTCAGTGAGGCCAGAGTTTTTGTTTCATTAAATAGAACTGAATTCTGTATTCAAGATGCAGCCTGGCTGAAGTGCTATCCAGCATCAGCAAGGTGGCCTCACACATTACTGAACTGGCATGGAATTTTGTTTGCTTTGTTACCAGTGGCACAGTGGTTAGCACCGCTGCCACACAGCATCAGGGAGTCAGGTTTGATTTTAGCCTTGCTCGACTGTCTGTGTGCATGCTCTCCCAATGTCTGCATATGTTTCTCCCGGGTGATCTACTTTCTTCCCAGAGTCCAAAGATATGCAGATTAAGTAGACTGGCTGTGCTAAATTGCCCCATAATGTCCATGGATGTATAGGCTAGGTGGATTAGCCATGGTAATCCACTGGATTAGGGTTACAGGACCAGGGTATGGGATACTCTTCAGTGGGTTGGTGCTGACTCGATGGATCAAATGGCCTCTATCTGCAGTGTAGGGATTCTATAATTCTATGACCTCCTGACACCCAGTGGCCAGGCTGAAGGGTCGAGTCTAATCACTGATTTCTTTCACTGTCTTCCAAATACCTGCTGTTCATGGAGGTTGCTCATTATTTTAATCCGAAACCTTAAAACTTTGCGCATAACTGTCATGACTCTGCTACTTGTAAATTCTGTACATGTCCTTCTATTGTTCTTTGCCCACTTCATTGAATCAAACTTCTTCTTCAATGATGATTCAAACATGACTCCTCATATTGACACTTTTAGGTTGCATCAATCTCGCTCAACTGTGTTACTGCAAGTCTTCCCTTTGACAGCCTAGCACAATGATCATGAACAGTAAACCAGATAATGGCATTCCCACAAAGCTGAGTAACGGAGTAGAAAACATGGAGGAGGATGGTGTTGTTTACAGTGTTAAGTTTTGCAGAAAGGCCAGTATATAAATTTCACAAATTTCACAACACCGATATATGTGACCAATTTCAAATAAATTTCTGAATCTATGTGGTTATATACACACTAAAAAAATAGCTTTCAGACTTAGCACAGTACTTAAAATGTACTCCATTCCATAAAAAGGGACAAAAAATGATCAATCAGTAATAATTATGGGATGATAAATAAGATCTTCTGAATTACAAACACCCTAAAGATATTCAGAAATCAATTAACCGTTTGATATGCTGGGATAAAGACATGTAAAAGGAGAAATCATGCAGTGAAACCACATTTAGTCAGGTCAATGTCGAGCAGTAAAGCGTCAAATAGTCACTATCATTAACTTTCAATACTTACTGAAGTCAATTAGCATTTTCCCAAAGCCTTGCCTCATATACTGAGGCATTGTTAAAATGCATGACACATTATAGTTGAGGAATGAATTCTTCTCCTGAAATAAAAAAAATCAATCATTTGGTTATATACAGCACAGTTGACTTAAACATGTTCAAATCAGCATTTCAACATTTTCATCCCTCTAACAAAGCCATGAATTTGAAAGCCTCACTAGATTCAATGGTGACTCTTCATATTGACACTTTTAAATTGTATCAATCTCATTCAACTGTGCTGTTATTGCAAGACTTCCTCTTGACAGCCTAGCACAATGATCATGAACAGTGAACCAGATAATGGCATTCCCACAAAGCTGAATAACAGAGTAGAAAAAGTGGAGGAGGATGGTGCTGTTTAGTATTAAGTTTTGCGGAATGGCCGATATGGGCAAGGAGCGATACTGTACCACAGTCACGAAGGATGTCTTTGATAAATTTGATTATTGCTGTGGCTTAGGCGGAAACCCGATTCAGAATTTCAAACATGGACTCGTAGGAAAGACATGCCTAGATCTGGGAGGTGTAAAACACATTCAAGGTCTCTGGGATTTACATCTGAATTCTCGGATATTCCTAGAGTTAGCTATATCTGTTGGCAAGAAAACGCTGTCAGCACAATGGACTGAGCAGGATGTAAACATCTTGATCTTTTTTTTCTAGTATCAGATGTTGGTAATACCAGTAAATATGGTGTGTTGTGCACACCTGCCTGCTCCTGGCCCATATCCCTCCAAACCTTGCCTATTCACGTACTCATTTAAATGTATTTTAATCATAATTGTGTCTACATCCACCACTTCCTCAGGAAGTTCATTCCACGTTCAAACCACCCTTTCTGTAAAAGATTTGCCCCTCATCTTTTTTTAAATCTCTCTCCTCTCACCCTAAAAATATTCCCCCAGTCTTGAAATCCTCCATTTTAGGGAAAAGACACCCACCATTAACCCTTTGTTAATATTATCCATATCCTTAGAATAAATTATTAAATTCCTTAGAATAAATTATTAAATTCCTCAGATCTACACTAAGTCCATCAGTAACTAACCTTCAAAGATCCCCATTTATTTGGAGCAATTTTCTAGACAAATTAGACAAAAACTTCAGCAATACTCAAAATGCATAACTGCAGAATTAGAATGTTTAAGTTATTAGGTCATATGAACCCAAAGGATTTATCTCTATTTTTCAGTGGATGTGGTTTCTTCTGAGATTTCGAAGGTACAATAAATGAATATTTTTGTTTCTAGTAATGACAAAGAGGAGCTGATGCTTTTGGATTCACTCAGAACGCATAGCAGATTGGCTTGAGAAATAATTGATATCATCCATGCAATTATTTCCCAAATGACTTAAATAACTGTGTAGAGTTCATTCATTCATGTGTAAGTTGAATGCACAGTATACAAGGTCTCCCGAGTCAGATAGACTTTGAATGAATCTTGAGTATGGATCAAAGATACTGCATATCATGTGTAATAGATTCTCTTGTGTTGGTAAACACAAAAAGTGCAACAGCAGGTCATCACAGAATGAGGTTTGGTAGACTTGTATGTTACAAACTAATTAAATTCTCTCAAAGCACTTCTAACTTAAGCTTCCTATAGAGGGGTTAAGCACTTGCTTCAGGTATTATGAATTCTGTGGTGGGGTTATAAATTTGAAAAAGTAATTGTATATTGTAAATTGTTTTCTTAGCCATTCCCTTGATAAATAAACCTGCTGTATGGAGATATCTCATCTTCCAAACTGCACAAAATATTTTTCATGATTTACTATAAGAAGTGAAATAAATCACAACGGAGGAACAAAATTATTTATTAAGCCGAACAATTCGAGCAGTTTAATTTTTTTTCACATTAATTTGTGGAGTTTGCACATTTGCCTTGTGTTTGCACGAGTTTCCTCCGGGTGTTCTGGTTTCCTCCCACAGTTCAAAGATGTGCAGGTTAGGTGGATTAACCATGCTGAATTGCCCATAGTGTCCAAGGAGATGTTGGTTATGCGGGTTAGCCGTAAGGAGAGCAGAGATAGGGTTATTTTTTTGCAGGGGAATGTGGAGTCTGGGTGCAATGCTCTTCGGAGAGTTTGTGTGGACTAGTTGGGCCAAACGGCCTGTTTCCATACTAGGGATTCAATGAATGAAATCACTATCTATCACATATCTATGCATGTACATAAGCTGGATACATGTTGCCACTTCAGTGACCGATACAAAACGAGCTCACAATGTCCTCAAGTGAAAAAATTAACAACTTAAGAGTGGAACAAAATTAGTAACATCTATAATAAAAAAGAAAATAAAAGGCTGGTAATTATTATTGAAGCAAATAGCTCATTAAAAGACTGTGCAAAGGCAGATCAAATAAATACACTGGGACTGAATTTGAACCAAACATGTCATGATGCGCCCTGGGGGTTGGACATTTTTCACTACAGCAGATTGGAGAAAATAAATTGCGCCACAAATTTCTGGAATTCTGAGCTTATAAAAAAGGATCTGACTTTAGTACAAACGACAGAACGTACAGTCAATGTCTTTAACTAACGAGCTTTAAGGATTCGGAAAGAAAGAAAAAGCAAGGCTGGATTGAGAGGAGGTAGGAAGAAAAAGCAATTTTAAAAAATGCAAAACTTTACATGCAACTTTATAAAAAAACTCCAAAAACAAATTCAGTAATGAAACATCATAGTTATTATAAATGCTCCATTTTGGAGCCAAAACTGATAAGTGGAATTTCAAGAACATAAACCTTGCCCTCCTACTGAAAAGTAGCAATCCTAACTTTTTAAATCGCAAGTTGAGTTTACTGCAACAGTGCAAACACTGCAATTTACTGACACTCACAGGGAGATTCACTGAGCTCTCATGATAACTACTGCTGAGCAACACAAAAGGAGCCAACAATTTGCAGCAGGTTACAACTCATGATATCTCTTCCTAACCACAAAACTATTTACATACCTATGATTAGCAGCACACATTAATCTTGCTGTTATTTTGCAACAAATGCAAGTCCATTATTTGTATAATATTTTGTGAACATTAATTTGTAGCCTAGGTTTTCAAATACGCCATACACGCTCTGTTGCAGAAAACATTACACTCAAATTGAGATGAGGGTAGAACATGCAAATAAAACTGTTAACATCCTGTACCTTGGAGAAATAGCCAACAAGGTGACACCCTGTGTTATCAGCTTCTGTCATCACATAAAACAAGAACGGTTCTACATCATAATATAACGTCTTGTGGTCCAAAAATAACTTAGCCAAAAGACACAAGTTCTGGCAGTAAATCTAGAGCAAAAAGAAAAGAAAATATTAAGGAGACCAGTTAAAAGAAACGCTTGCCAGATAAGAAACTGAAAACTTCTTCACCGAGACAGGATTAAACATTGTTTAAACAATTATTTTTCATTCCCATAAACCATGCTGAGACAATAGTCTACTGTCACTAGCCTGGTTTTAATAACATACTTATGCGGCCTTTCTATATATGAGCCAAGTATGTTCAGCATATACAATTAATTGGGAGCGCACATACACTTATGAAATAGAGATCATCAAAAATAAGGCTGATTCTCACTTTCTTAGTGAGAGGAACCGAGACCAAGTACATTGATTTTACTGTTGATAACTTTAGTAACAATCAACTCAAAATAGACCAAACCAGAATTTTCTACACCGGGCATAGTCTTTGCCAACTTATTCAAAAGGGTGAAAGGAAATCTCTAGACTTCTTGCAAGGGTAAAAATGTAAATTCAACTTCTCCAATGCTGCAAGTCTTACAATTGGGTCTTT